CTTTCTCCCAGTTTTCCCCTCCTGTTCCCCCCCCACAAGTTGTATATAGTTTATTTTCAACAAAGTGTCAGTACGTATCTCACTATGTGAATATCTCATGATCTCCCTTCCTCTCTATCAAACAAACTTCCAAACAAGACAAATGGTACAAAAAACAAAAACAGCAATGAAGGGAAAAAAAAGATGTAACAATAACAGTTACTGGTAAAGATGTGGCCAAAAAGGAACTCTACTTCACTGTTGGTGAGAATGTAAACTTGTTCAACCACTCTGGAAAGCAAAATAGAGGTTCCTCAAAAGACTAAACATAGAACTTCCCTGTGACCCAGCAATTCCATCTTGGGCATTTATTCAATAGACTGAAAACCAGGCTTAAAGCTACCACCACTAAAGCTACCAACACATGTTCATTGCAGCATTGTTTACCATAGCCAAGACATGGAATCAACTCAGATGCCCCTCAATGGATGAATTAATCAAGAAAATGTGATATATCTACATCTACATCTATATCTATATCTATCTATCTACAATGGAATTCTATTCTTTCATCAGACACAATAATATCATACCATTTGTAAGGAAATGGAAAGACTTGGAGAAAATAATATTCAGTGAAGTAAGCCAGGCCCAAAGAAACATAGGTTGCATGGTTTCCCTCATTAGTTGTAACTAAAATGTACCTACAAATCTACAAATGGTAAAAAAAACAAAACAAAACAAAACAATACACTTGAACATGATAAATTGTTCAGGTCTTTAGACATTCACACAGTGAGACCAAAGGAGGATATTCTTAGGAGAGGACCACAAAGGCTCAATAGCTCTGTGCATATGATCATATAAAATGAGATTTATCAAAATGAACTACAGAAGTAGAAACGTAAAGTCTTTAATGATTTTAGAAAGATCTTTGCGGTATTTTGAGACTTCTAACAGTGAAGATGCATGATCTGCATTATTTGCCTTTTTTGCATTTATTAGAGACTAATGATCAAGTGTTCTATTTCTTTGTATCTCCACAGTACCTATAGAGATTCTGTCAGAATCCCTAAACAGTTTGTTGAATGTGTTGGGTGACACAGCTGTGTATTAACTTGTAACCAAGCCTGGTGTAAGGCACAAATAATGCCAACGGCATGCCCAAATGATTCCTCAGTCAAATATCACTGCTTCTTTCCAAAGAATGCTGTCCAGACAAAGTCCATTTACCAATCCTAGTCCAGGCCCTATTGTGTTCTACCTGCTCTGTCTCTGAGGGCATGGGCCAACTGCTTGCTAGCCTTCCATTTGGATTAGGCTAACAGGAAGCAGGAAATCCTCAGAAAGGGCAGACAGTGAGGGTGCAGTCTGATAGGATTGGCTATGTTCCATTACTATTATTATTATTATTTGTCGGTCATGGGGCTTGAACACTGAGCCTGGGCACTGTCCCTCAGCTTTTCAGCTCAAGGCTACTGCTCTACCACTTGAGCACAGTGCCACTTCTGGTTTTCTGGTGGTTAAGTGGAGATAAGAGTCTCACAGGGACTTTTCTGCCTGGGCTAGCTTTGAAGTGTGATCCTCAGATCTCAGCCTCCTGAGTAGCTAGGATTACAGGCATGAGCCACCAGCGCCCCGCTTGTGTTTCTTTATTAAAGGCCCTCTCTTGGGCTTGTAGGCCATGAACACTGTCCACACTTTGTAAGCGGTCCCTTAGTGAACTTCTCCAAACAATCTGAAGATCTCTGATATTTTGCTGGGCCTCTGACAAGTATTTGCCCAAATCACACAGATGACAAAGTTGGTTCAATCTAGCTCCCACAGCCTGTCTCCCTTGTATTATTTCCAACTAAATACTCTCTTCCAGGTCACCTGACCTCCAAATTAGAATCAACTGGAGCAGGGGTGAGCAAGCTACAGCTCACAGGCCAAATCCCACCCACAAACGGCCTGTTTCTGTAAATGGGGCTTTATTGGAGTATAGCCAGGATCATTTGTTTACTGTCTCTGTCTGCTTTTGAGCTATGATGGGAGGTGAAGGGTTGCAACAGAATCTTTATGGCCTGCAAAGTCTAAACTGTTTGTCATATGACCCATGATAGGAAAAGTTTACTGATCCTTGACTTAGTGGGAAAGTAGACATATGAACTTCATCATTTTCATCAAAGGCTCCTGGGCCAGATGCGGGGGGGCACTTGTGAGTGACCCCAGGATAGTTAATGGGAGGTGTTTGACTCCAGCCTGACAGGCTCTTGTGGATACTGGCTCTTGTTGCTGTGCAACTGCTATAGTGACCCAGGAAGACACTCGATCTACTCAACAAAAAAAAAAAGAACGTGACTAAGAAAAAGGAGGAGGCATTTGCATTGATCATTCGTGCTTTCAGAAATATTTCCTGAAAAGAGTGGCTGGCCCAAGTGTGTTTGCATTTCCATATCAACGTTACGCTGTACAAAGCTGACTCCTCTACCTGAGCATGCTGTCTCTTAAGAATCCAGCTTGCATTTATGTCTGTCCTTACCAGGGTCTGGCACAGAGTTGTCAATGTTCAATAAACAGTTTCACCAAATGGTATTCAATGTTTAAGAACAGAAAGAAAAGAGAAATAGAGGGTAGAGGTGTGTTAGACAATTCTTCTGCTCTCATGGGCCCCTACCTGCTTGACCCTCACAGATTAAGAACAGCTAGCTATAAGATGAGGCAATCCATCTGGTAAAGGTGTGTCTCAGGGAAGACTGGCTACATAACTTGTGTAAATGAAAATCCAGAGCTTCTTGTTCAAAACTCAGGAAGAATTTGAAGGCAGGGTCAGTAGAGGACTGAGTAAGGCCCGCTAAGCCTGAGGAGGCTGTTTATCAGTGAGTAAGAGGTCAGGGAGGTCCTTTTCCTCTAGAGCCACTCCAAAGGCAGTTCAGACTGTCGGGATGCTGAGCCCCGGGACTCTGCAGTGGTAGACAGCTGAAACTGCCTGATCTGGGATAAGGAATCACCTCCAAAGTGTCTGCTGTATCCCCAACCAGCCCACAGGAGCAGATTGCTTTTCCCAGTTCCTGCTTGTTCCGCCAGTGCCTCTCTGTTTTTGGTTTAATCCCTGGTCATCTAGACAGCCAGTTCATGCTAACATATCTTATGGACAGCCATGGGTTTACACGATTGTCTTTACCCAGTGTTTATACATGAATGATTCCTTATCTTGTCTCCAGAACCCTCTTCTGCTTCTTTTATCACCACAACTGGATACAGAGACCACTGTGCAGAGAGCCCTGGAAGTCTTTCCTGCCCTGAAGGCTGAGCCTTCCCTTCTCTTGGGATCCCAGTGAGTTTCTGGGAGGTCACCAGGTGGTGACAATGCTGGGTGTGGAGCTCTGACTTTTTGCAAGACTCTTGAGACATGCTTCTTTTTTTTTAATTGTGAAAATACTGTACAGAATGGTTACAATTAAGTGGGCAAGGTAATGAATACATTTCTTTTTTTTATTGTGAAAATACCATACAGAGGGGTTACAATTACGTGGACAAGGTAATGAGTACATTTCTTATCAAGCATTGTTGCCTCCTCCTTTGTTTCCCCTTCCCATCCCTTCTCATCTCCCATCCCCCCTACCCCCCCCCCCCCAGCCAAAGTTCTAAAGTTTGTTTTTTGATATAACATCTTGTACATCTCATTGTTGCAATGGGTCCACCTTCCCTTCCACAAATTATACCAACATCAAATACAGTGAAAACAGGGGTTATACTATGGGGGAGGGACATACAAAACAACAAAGAAATATCTTATAAATATGTTAGAAACAATAGCAAGAAAGAAAAAAAAACATTTGAGTCTTTAGCTTGGGGTTCATTTCGCCTAACATCAACTTACTGACCATTTCTGCTTGTCTCAGACATATACTAGTTATTGCAAATAAGGGAAACCATGGGACCTATGTTTCTTTGGGCTTGGCTTACTTCACTTAATATAATTTTTTCCAAGTCTTTCCATTTCCTAACAAATGGGAGGCATAGAATTCCATTGTGTATATATTTACCACATTTTCAACAGATGCTGGAAGGGATGTGGACAGGAGGGAACCCTACTGCATTGTTGGTGGGAATGTAAACTCGTTCAACCACTTTGGAAAGTAGTTTGGAGGTTCCTCAAAAGACTCCACATGGAGCTCCCCTATGACCCAACAATCCCACTTTTGGGCATTTACCCAAATGCTTACAAACAAGACCACACTAAAGCTACCAGCACAACTATGTTTATTGCAGCACTATTTACCATAGCTAAGATATGGAACCAACCCAGATGCCCCTCAGTAGATAAATAGATCAAGAAAATGTGGCATGCTTCCTTTTGATTGGCCGGTTCTACTTCCTCCAGACAACTCCCTCCCTCAGTGCCTCCTCAGCCCCTTCTTGCTGCAGCGTGAGCTCAGGGCTCCCTACTAGCTCCCTGCTTGTGGGAGAGACAATGTCGGCAGTCTCTCAGAGGCTGGCATAGGGGCTGTTCCACAGTGCCAGGAAGCTACCCGTCCAGGCGTGGTGATGACAGCTCCAGGGTTCTTACCCTGTGTGCATGAGCAGCAGAGGGCATTGCCTATTTCGAAGGAGTGTGCTAAGGAAGTGTGCTTGAGTATTTCATCCCCAGGAAGGTGTGATTCCAGCATTATGGTGCCACCAACACCAGAACTGTCCTTTAGGGAGGCACAGAGTCACCAAACTCTCACCTTAGGGAATCATAGTAGATGAAGGATTGTGCAATAAAGGCTGCAGTTAAGCCTGATGGAGTGAGTTTGCCTTTGATCCAAAACATGGAATGACAATCCCCAAGGCAAGTGAGTCTTCTGCTGAACTTGGGGTGATGGGCTCTGTCTGGTCTCATTTGTCTTCCTGTGGCCAATATAACTTTAATGGCAGTAGCTCTGTGCACACAGCTTTGGTGACAGTGGAGGCAGCTGTGGCCCCATTGGATCCTCACCATACTCGCCCAGCATCTCATGGCTCACACAGTACCTGTGTTCTATCTCTCACAGGGATCCCGGTGGCACATAGAGCTCCAGCCATGGGCAGGCCCTGCTCAGTCCCTAGAAGAGGAGGCCTCGAGGTTCCTGAGATACATCAACACCATGCAGGTTGGGTTTCAGCCTTACCTGGGTTTGGAAGTCATGTCAAAGATACCGACTGCCCCTTTGAAAGAAGGGTTTGTCCCTGAGGGGTGGGAGGCTGCTAGTGGTTCTTGGAAGGCTCACAGTTATTGGCTCCCTCAGAGGAGGATAAAGATGCTTCCAGTTGCTGAAGCATCTTCTTCCTTCCAGAAGCCTCATCAGCCTGAAACATTCTAATGATTCATCCTGGAGTGTTTTAAAGATCCACTTTAGAAAATTGTTTTGGAAAAGCACTTGAAGCAACAGATTTGTCCCTATGAGAAAGCAGTTGAGCATGTCACAGAACAAAACCATCATCTGGAGGCTCAAACTCCAATTTGTATTTGGAGATATTTGCCTTCTCACTTCTCTGCTGGGGAGGCTTGGCAGCCAGGGACACACTAGGCCAGAGAGCAGAGGAGAGTTCTGAGACAGAGCACTGCTTAATGAATCCAAAGGCTTTCACTCTTCTTGGAGCACTTTAACTCATTACCAAGCAGCAGCCGTTATTAGTGGCTTAACACACAGTGGCAGCTCCTGCCCAGCTTGAGGCTGAGTCGACCAAACAGGCAAGAGACCATCTATTAAGGAGAGTCTATGTCTCTTGACACATTAATCAGAAGGTACTGTTCTTGTGGCAGTTATAAGAGGGGATCTAGGCCCCAGGGATACTTAGCCCTGAACTAAGAGGTGCCAGTGAATTAGGTGCTGAGCATAGGCCCATCTGGGAAGCTGTCCAGGTAGAGTGAAGTATATGAATAAGTGTGACTCCAGGGATCCTAGATTCTTTTGATTTCCTTTAGTCCACTGGCTCTGGGCACTTCATTTCTCTGAGCCTCACTGGAAGTAAATCTAATTTTTCATTTGTGGAAGAGGATATATTTCTAGATTTTTTTGGGAGGGGTGTGTGTGGGGGGGACAGATTATACTACATACCCCTGATCTTCCTGCTTCAGATATCTGAGTGCTGGGATTGCAGGTGTGTGCAACCATGCATGGCTTACTTTAGGAACTTTAGGAGGCTAGTTCAGGGGTAAAAGAGAGTGTCATTTCTTATGTGACATGGTCAGTCAAGCAGGAATTTTAATATTTGTCATTCAAACATGGAATTCAAAGTTTGTGGAAATAATTGTGTATGATGGAATGATAAGTTGGTTCTTTTGCTTTACAAAATTCATCTTTTACTACTGAAAGTTAGTCTGGTGGACTTATGCAGATTAATTAGTATACTGAAATCTTAGTTTTACAGTTTGGCTTTACAAAGGATTGGGAACTAGAACTCTTAATTATGTTTTAAAAAATTTCCTAGGCCCTAGAGAGAAATGAGGAGTGTTAAATTTATGAGTTGAATTTGGGAACTTAGGAACCCATCCTCCAAAATTAATTTACTGAGTGCAAGAGTCCAAATTCTATTTTATGTTTATGTTCTATAATTTATACAGGTGTATTTACTTAGAAGATGTTCTTGAAGCATGCAATGGTCATGCAATTTCAGGCTCCTGGATTTTCTCATGAGCTGTGGGCTAAGAGGAGAAAAAGTCTTAAAATCAGTGAAAGCATTCTGTGATATAATATAGTCTGATGTTGTAACTTTGAGCAATTTACTTTGCTTCTATGGCTCTCACTGTTCTGATACTGAGAGAGAAGAGAAAGAGATTGGATCAGACAGTTTCTAATGTCTTCCCAGTTCTGTGACCTTGTAGTATGCAGATATTAGGGTAAGGATATGCTTAACTAAGCTTTCTTGTTTTTTGTTTGTTTGTTTTGGTTCTGGTCCTCGGGCTTGAACTCAAGATCCTAGGCACTGTCCTTGAAATTCTTTTGCTTAATGCTAACATTCTACCACTTGAGCCACAGCTCTATTTCTGGCATTTTTGTAGTTCATTGGAGATGAGTCTCACGAATTTTCTTGACCAGGCTGGCTTTGAACCACCATCCTCAGATCTCAGACCCCTGAGTAGTTAAGATTACAGGCACGAGCCACATGGCTTAACTAAATATTTTTTGAACACCTACAACATGCCAGGAACTGAAGTAGACCCCGGAGAAAGTCTGTGCCCTCAAGGAGCTGATGAATGAGTTGTGAAGATAGATAAGTCCACATTTAATTATTATTCAGCTTGATCAATGCAATAGTAGAGGTTTGATTGTTGAATCTACAAAGGAGAGAAAGATCCTTTCTGCCTTTGAGTTCTTATGTGCGTTATCTAGGATCAATTAACACAAGAACACAAGAAGAGAAACACATAAAAGTTTTATTAAACTTCCATATATATGGAGATCTTCATAAGAGAATGAAGTCTAGATAAATGACCAATGTATAATGCTTTTATGTTTTGGGCGAAGAACAGTAAACTTATGAAGGAATAACAGGACAAATGGACCTCTAGACTAGAGCAGTAATTAGTAATTTTTATTTTCTGTTTTTTTTTTTTTTTGTGCCAGTACTGGGGCTTGAACTCAGGGCCTGGATGCTGTCTCTTCGGTTTTTCTCTCAGAGTTGGTGCTGTACCACTTGAGTCACAGATCTAATTTTGCTTTTTGCTTGCTAATTGGAGATAAGAATGTTATGGACTTTCCTGCCTGGGTTGGCTTAGAACTGTGATCCTCAGATCTCAATCTTCTTCAGTAGCTAGGATTACAGTGCCAGGCAGAGCAGTATATTTTACAGGTGCTTCCAAGACATACATTCAGTTTCATTATGGGTAGATACATAGATGAGATATAGATGCCAATCAGATATAAAAACAGACTTTAAAACACTTCAGTTTTTCTAGTTCAGAGCAGCCACTGTAGCTTAGATTAATTTTATACTGCAAGACTTGCTTCCTGGAAGCATATGGTCTGGGGGTTGACAGCATGGTGAAAATATTATCAACCAAGTATTTCTGTGCCAGTACTGGTCTTGAACTCAGTTTCATTGTGGTCTCAATTACTATTCTTTGGTGATCAAGGCAATTTCCCATGAATCTGACTTGCTGCATGTGACACAAGACAGGCCACGTGGCCCTTTCTGAAGGTATAGTTTCTCAAGTGATTGTAGCTTGAAATGATCAACACACCAATTCAGACTATTGGAGATGGAATATCCTCAACCTCTGAAAAGCTCATTAAAAGGGATTTTTGTCCTCCAGAAAGAACAAAATAAATTCCCAGACATGACAATGGCTTTGCAATCAGGAGCCATTTGATCTAGGCAAAGCACTGTGCTTTGATTCACTTCCAGGTTAACAAGAGGCCAGCAAGTGGGAGCAATCAGCAATGACACTAAGTGATTCTTATCAGGATCTTTTGCTAATTCTTGCTCCAGCCCCTTCTCTGGGTAATGGAGAACTTTTGGGTTGCTTTTGTGGCTTCTGCCTGATTTAGAGCTCATCTTAACAATGAAAGCCTGCAAAACTGACAGAATATTGGAGTTACTGTTACCTAAACCTTTTCTGTTAGCAGTAGTGAGTCATAATGGGTTAGGAAAGAAGAGCTCTGTACATCCCTGAAAGTACTAAAGCATATTCCATCCCCATCTTCTTATTATAGCTTTTAAAATAAGAAATCATGTCTCTCAAATCCGTACACTTGTATAAGACTCCATATTTGATATATCCATTGTTGAATTTTTTCATGTATCAGTGCCAACAGGCATTTACTGAGCAGTTGCTCTGTGCCTGGTACTGTGCTGGCTTCTGGGATGTCAAACTTGAATATAATACTCCCATACGCTGGCAATCAGCTCATCTTCAAGAGAAATCTATGGCTACTAATACGGGGTGTGAAGATAGGTGGGGAAGGTACCCTAGGCCAAAGGAGCTGAGGAATAGAGGCAGAGGGCATGGGCCAGACTGGCACCGTACCAGCTGCTGGCATGGCACACCTGCACCCTCACAGCACAGTGTCCCTGGTGGCACCACTGGACCCCTGCACGTCTAACAAACCATCAGAGGGATATGGCATGCAGAACACCAGCTGAGTTTCATTAGAAATCCCTTTATATATTTTTTTATATTTCTTTCTTATGAAAGACTATGAGTGCATAGCAGAGTTCTGCAGTTGATGATACAATCTGCTGCTAACAAGAAATGGTTAAATCATAAACATAGTGCTCTGTTCTGAGAGAAGGCTCCAGATCCAGCTTTTTATGTCAACCCCCAAACCATATGCCTCCAGGAAGCAAGCCTTGCAGTACAAAATTAAGCTAAGCTATGGTGGCTATTCTGAACTAGAAAAATGTTTTAAAGTCTGTTTTTTTATCTATCTATCTATCTACTCACATATTTGTAAGAATAACCTATGAACTCAAGTTTTTGAGATGTAGACAATAAATTAACAACATTATATAACAATAGTATTTTTACATTTACTCTCTCTTCACTCCACACACCCCATCCCCCATACCAGAACAAAAACAACAAATGTTTCCTTCTGCCCTTGAGCCTTCCAAAACAATGGGGCTGCATAAACAGTTGATTGTTAAGGAATTTTTGCCAACAGTCTCCAAATTTTAAAGACTGCCTTTGCCACATTCACTTATGAGCTGGCAGGAATGCTACTCAAGCTTTTGGGCTACAAAAAGAAAAAGAAAAAGAAATGAATATAAATTAGTTCCCTTTAAGCTAACTAACTAAAAATGAAAATAGAAAACATTTTTTGCCCTGGAGTCTATTTTTCTTTATCCAGGCCTAATTTGTTTTTCTATGGCTAAAATTACTAGGGGAATTAGGCAGACAGAGAGCATAATTACTTGAGTTAGAGCGAGCTCCACGTTGCTATCCTGGCTTCTTTTGCTTGCAAGAGACCTTATTGAAGCCCTGGCCATCAATCTTAACTAGAAAGTGTGAAAAGTCAATATTTAATTAATTTTAGGAGAGAATTTCATGGAGAACTTCTAGAAGTTTTTGAAAGCTAATGTCTGTCAATGAGATGGTTAGTAAATGGTTCAAATTGGCTAACTCCCATGTTTTATTTTTGAGCTGAGACAGGAAGGAGGCTGGATGGCAATGATGTATCTTTAAGAGGAATGTAACTGTGTAAGACAAGAATATTATAATAAGAAAAATGCGAAACAAGACCAACCGTTATCTATAGCACAGCAAACTCTAGTCAATGCCTTTAGCAAAGGAGGACCAGCTGGACTTCAAAGTCTTGACTCTTGGTTTCTAATACTGACGTTTGGAAGGTTGTAGTTAGCTGTGGGTACCAGTCCCCTCTGGCTTTTTGTTAGGAATGGGAGTGGAGTGAGGGCCTGCTATGTTTCTTTGGAAGCTCTGGCCCATGTATAACCTTAAATTTCTAAGAAACAGTCAAGATCAGTTTGGAACCTCTTCTTGTGACTTTACAAATGGTCAGGCCACCAGGAAACCCCCAGGATTGCCCTCCTAAGAATCACCGGGGGAAGCATAATTCATATTCCCAGGAGTCAGTGTTTACGATTCGAATTTGCAGATGTGGAGTGGGACCCAGGAACCTGAATGTTAAGTATTTCCCAAGTGATTCTGCTGCAGTGGATTGTACCTTAAGAAGCATTGTGGAAGAAACCAAGTTAGATTTTGATGGTGCTAGGAGGAAAGTATGAATGTCTGTCATGATGTAGCAACTGGAAGCATCAACCAGTGCAGTAATAAACAGGAAGGTGCCCTGCAGCGATTGGCTCAGGCTTCTGAAGTCCAGTTACACCTTGGAGGTCTCAGAACTTCCCTCGACTAACCTGCTTCCTGCTAGCAGCAGGTCTGAACAGAAAAGGCAAATGGAGGAGGATGCAGCCCACATTCAAGGCACAGCAATCTGCCTCACTCCAGTAGATCAGAGCCCAATATGCACAGAGCCCTGACTAATATGCACAGAGCCCTGACTAATTACATTAGCCATTCCCCTGAACTTGGGTAGATGCGTGGGGAAGAGGAAGTGGCCTAGCAGTGTCTCCTCTTCTCTTTGAGAGGAGAGTGGAAGGTGAGTTATAGAAGGGTACCATACTGATGTACTCAGCTAATATATGTATTCTGTACTAGTTGCTTGAGAGAATGAGAGTTCCATTTTTGATTTCTTTTCCCTTTAGGCAGTGGTTAGAGATAGAGAAATAGAAAGATACTAGTAGAAAGAAAAAAAAACTAGTGCTTTTTCTAGCGCAGGCCAGCCCTAGCTTACAGCAATCATAAGGCAGTGCTGGTTGAATAGGCTACACTTTGGAAAATCAGTTACGGTAAAGGATTGGCCTAAAATGCCTTAAAGGAAAACAATATCACTTATTGTTATGTTTTTCTAGTGAGTTAAAGCAAGAAACTTCACACCACCCTTTGCACATAGAGTATTCTGTTGTGTTCTGTGTTACAGCTGTGTCATAGTACATCATGATCAAGAGAGTTGTTTGCATAGGTGTGTGTATGTTTGTTTGTGTGTGTGTATGTTTACTGAGACTTGAACTCAGGACCAGGGTGCTGTCCTTGACCTTCTTTTGCTCAAGGCTATTGCTTTACCACTTGAGCCTCAGCTCCACTTCCAGGTATTTTGGTAATTTATTGGAGATAAGGTCTCATCGACTTTCCTGCCTGGTTGGTTTTGAACTTGGATCCTCCTGAGTAGCTAGGATTATAGACATAAGCCACCAGTGCTTGACAGGACATGTCTTTTTAGGGTAGCTTATAATCTTGTCAACAGAAAGTGCACAGTAATTTCACTTGACCCACAGTCAGCTGTGTATCTTGGATAACATGTGCCACCTTTCTGGTCTCAACGCTCCCACCTTCCTGAGTTAAGGGGCAGCTTTGTAAGAACCCTTCTGAGATCAAGGCCAGTGGTCAGAGCACACATTTTGCCCTGTTCTCTATGTCTGGGATGCCCTGGGTCAAGGCTCAAATCTCCTGATCAACTCTGGTTCATTCTCCCAGATTAACACACCACTGCACAGCCTCCTGATGCTTCTTCTCTCTCATTTCTGCTCTTGATTTATTTGATCTCTGAGCAGATATTACAAACAGCTCTTAATTACCCTTCAAACCTACACCGAGTCTCCATGAGGTTACTGCTTACTTGGTATATCATTGAAATTCCTGGGAACATTCTCCAGCAGTCTGCTGGTTGGTTCCCTGGGGAGAAGGGTTTTGCTGTGGAGGATATAACTCTCCTATTAGGGTTTTCAGGATTGAGGAAAGCAGTTAGTCCCCTACCTGCCATTTAGCATCCAACATTTTAAATTATTCATATTGATTTGCAATCCTTACAGATTGTATGTGATCACATGGGTGCAGACTCCAGCCTTGCCAAGAAGCCCTGGTTGGTGTGTCTTGATGACAGGTTTGGCTTAGCTCATCAAATCCGCAACAAGCAGTGCCGCCTCTATTCTCTAGGGTGAGTACATTTTTAACCCCTGCAGAAGAAAACACAAACATTCCTACAGACAGCCCTGGCCTCTTCAGGTACACCAAGTTATGACTGGTTGCTGTGTTTACAGGTCTATACTTTATCTCCTGACATTGTTACGGACTAATTTGTTATACCACTGTAGGCACAAGCAGAGCTCTGAGGCCGCCTTGTCTGGAGCTGCCTTTATTTGTTTATTTTCTTTCTCTCTTTCTTTCTTTTCTTCCTATTCTTTGAACTCAGGAACTGTGCTTGCCAGGCTAGGGCTCTACTACTTAAGCCACACACACCCCTGATTCTGTTATGACCAACATACATCTTTGGTGCTTATACCAATCAGGACAGGCTAGCTAATGGTATAGTCCATGTGGATGTTTGGCTTTCAAAGTTCAAAGGATTAAACAAACAACCTTTATTTTCTTGTACATGATGCCTTTCCAGTGGAAGTTGGTGGGGGTGGTAAAAGGCAAGGTTTCAGCTTGTTGCTGCCATTCAGAAACTCAGGCAATACTAGGGTTTGATTGTAGGGCCTTACACTTTGTAGGAAAGCACTCTACTACTTGAGCCCCCTAGCCTATATTTTTGTTTTACTTTTTCCCCCCATATAGGATCTTGTCTTTTGTGGAGGCAGGCTGGGACTGTGATACTCCTATTTACATCTCCCATGTAGCTGAAATGGCAGGTACACCTCAGCATGCTTGACTTGTTAGTTGAAATGGAGTCTTGGTAACTTTTTTGCTGCTTGATATGAGCTTGAGCTATGGTTCTTCAGTCTCCACCTCTTGAATGGACATAATGACAAGCATAAGCCACCTGCCTGGTCTGAAGTCACTTTTTCTCCCATTCTGAGGATAACAAATTGGCAGCTTCAGTTTTCTCAAGATAAGTAAGAATAATCCTCTTGGTGAAAATGATCATTCCCAGGTGGAATTAGAGCATCCTTATTATAAAAAGAGAGAACACTAATTACCTACAGCTAGGAAAAAGAGAAAGTATGTTAACAAATTTAATACAGCTATGAATAACCCAAGACTCGTGATAGCCACTCCTTGATTTTTATTTTGTATACCAATGATAAATTGATCATTATCAAGAGCAGTGGCTCTTGCTTGTAAACCCACTTATTTGGAAGGTGGAGATAGGAGGATTGTAATATGAGGCCAACTTGGGCAAAACAGTTAACAAAATTCTATTGTAACCAACAAGCCATGTGTGGTGACTCATGTCTATACACCAGCTTTTCAAAAGGAGAAGGACTGAGATCCAAAGCTAGATCCAGGCAAAAGCAGAAGATTGGGGATTTGGTTCAGTGGTAGGGCTATTGCCTAGCCCTGTGTTCTATTCCCAGTACTGCAAAAAAAAATTGTGTGTGTGTGTGTGTGTGTGTGTGTGTGTGTGTGTGCTGATCTTTGCGCTTGAGCTCAGGACTTAAGTGCTGTCCCTGAGCTTTGTTGCTCAAAGCTAGTGCTCTACCACTTGTGACACAATTCCACTTTTTGTTTTTCTTTTGGTGGTTAATTGGAAATAAGAGTCTCATGGATTTTCCTGCCCAGTCTGACTTTGAACCAGGATCCTCAGATCTCAGCCTCTGGAGTAGCTAAGATTACAAGTGTGAGCCACTAGTGTCAGCTATAGTTTTATATTTGACTAAAAAGAAAGTGAAGGGAACTTTTACCAAAAAAAATCCTGTGAAAATTGATAGTTATTCAAGCTGAAAATGATCATGATGCATGAATGGATCTAAGGAGCTTTCTGTAAAAAGGATAATATAAGAGACTATTTCACCAAATATTTCATTGAACAGTCCTGAACTTACAAATGATATCTGTTCCAAGAAAAGGCAGGAGCAAGTTATTTTGTTTTGGAACACCCTGATCTATGGATGCTTATAGAAGCTATGTAGGTTCTCAGGCTAGACTACTGAACAAAGAACCAGGGGCCCTACCAAGTGCAGCATGCTTGTTCATCATCTATGCATATCACCATCAACCTCTACACTTTATGTTCTGACAACAGCCACAGTAGTCAGTCTTATAAGCAGCCATCTGATATGAAGACCTCACCAAAGGTGCCTCAAGAGGATCATCACTACTATAAAACTCTAACCAACAAGAATTACCAATCATTATGACTTGAAAATAAAGCAAAAAGGTTCAACTAAAAGTTTAAACATTGGGAACCACTCTTATATGGATAAATGAGTTATACATACACATGGCATCTATCAGTGAGACTTGGCATACAGTAGACATTCAATATTTGCTCTGTAAATGATGGCCTGAATAGAGGAGTCCATGCAAGGACATTGGGCTTCGAGTGTGAAGGCTGGGGTGGATGCCAAGCTGCTCAGCCTGTTGGATAGAATTGAGCTCTTTTCCTTGAGAATCACAGCTACACTTCCAGTCTGCAGGAAGAGCCGGAAATAGTGACAACAGAGTTTATGCCATATGAAAAACTTGTCCAAAGTAGTAAAAAAATAGTTGCATGTCACCACATGTGAATTGGAGATCTCAGCTTTAGCCTATCTTTGTTGCTCCAGGCTGTCTTTATAGTTTACTTAATATTATACACACTGGAATAATTAATGTAAACTATATACAATAAAAATAAAACTTGGAAAGTTACTTTTTTGGAAAAATTCTAAATTCCTTTTTTTCCCCTTATACATAAGAATTGTTGGATAAGATGGTTCTGCTGTAATACATCAGATTATTACATACAAAAAGGCATGTGTGTGCGTGCACACATGTGCACACACTAGAACTTGAACTCAGGACCTGGGCACTGTCCCTTAGTTTTCTTGCTCAAGGTTGGCACTTGACTATTTGAGATACAGCTCTACTTCTGGCTATTTGGTTGTTAATTGGAGATAAGAGTCTCACATCTTTTCTTGTTTGGCTGGCTTTGAACTGAGATCCTTGACTCAGTTTTGCTCAATACCCATCCTCAAGCAATCACTTCTTGATGTTCTGTCTTTATAGATAGATTCACCTATTCTGGATAGTTCGTGAAATGGAAATAATATGTGAACCTTTTGTGAGTTGTGCTTTAGTTACCATGTTCTCAAGTTTTACCCACATTGTAGCATGCATGTAGCAATACTCTGTCCCTTTTTATGTCTGAATACTATTCCAATGTTCATGTGGTTATAGTCACATGAACAATGTCCTTCAGTTGATGGACATTTGGGTTGTTTCCACTTTTCAGTTATTATGTTCGGAGAGGGATAGTCACATATAAGGTTTTAAGTAGGCAAATGTTTACATTTATATTGAATATATAATATTTTAGGTTCACACAAATAACCTCTGGTAGCTCCAGTTTCTCCACATCCTTGCCAATATTTGCTATTATTGATCTTCAATTATAGCCACCCTGATGTATTTGAAATGATATCTCATTGTGGTTTCATTTTGAATATCCTTACTGGATAATAATCTTGAATATTTCCTCCTCATGCTCTAAAATTTTCTTTCCAAAGGAACATAAAGGCCATTAACCTTAATACTGTGATACATATATATACATACATATATATATATATATATATATATATATATATATATAAACTTAAGACTCGCAAGTGTGTGTGTGTGTGTGTGTGTGTGTGTGTGTGTGTGTGTGTGTATGTGTGTGCGCCAGTCTTGGTGCTTGAACTCAGGGCCTGGGCTGTGTCCCTGAGCTTCTCTTGCTTAGGGCTAGTGCTCTATCACTTGAGCCACAGCACAACTTCCAGCTTTTTAGGGTAGTTTATTAGACATAAGACTTTCTTGGACTTTCCTGCTTAATTTAGCTTTGAACTGAAACCCTCAGATCTCAGTCTCCTGAGTAGCTAGGATTACAGTCCTAAACCACCAGCACCTGATTCTCAATTTTTTTTTTTTGCTGGTCCTGGGTCTTGAACTCAGGGCCTGGGCTCTGTCCTTGAGCCTCTCTGTGCTCAAGGCTGGTACTCTACCACTTGAACCACAGCACCACTTCTGGCTTTTTCTGAGTAGTTTATTCGAGATAAGAGTCTCATAGGCTTTCCTGCCCAGGCTTGCTTTGAATGATGATTCTCAGATCTCAGCCTCCGGAGTAGCTAGGATTACAGGTTTGAGCCACCAGCACCTGGCTCTCACAGATATTTTTAAGAGTATCCAAGGACCTGGCACAGAGGTACAACCTGTCCCTTTTATTATGTTTGGTGACATGAAAGGGCATGTGATTGACAATACCACCCTCAGCTCGTCCAAAGAACACCTTTATATAACTTGCAAGCAAGAACCTCCTTCAAGAACTCTTACCAGAATCCACAACAAAATCATCACAATGGGCATTATGGTGTGAATGACACACCCCCTAGAGTTGTTCAGTATACAACTTATACAACCATAAATGGGGACTCCAGATCCTTTTCTTTTGGCATTAGAGAAAGAAGACCAAGATGGTTGCCCTGTTACTCATTATCTTTGGAAATCTCTATTACTTTGGTTGTTCTGTTACTCTATTACCTTTCTATTTCTTCAATAGTTCTTAGATTTGATGGTTCTTCTATGCTGAAAATTGTATCATGATCTCAAACCCCAACATTAATTAAGATCAATAAGCATGAGTTATATAATTGTATCTCTCACCAGAGAGGGAAAGATTGCAGCGTTCATTCAAAGGCTGATGCCTTTGAATGTACTTCTCAGCTGCTTAACTGTTTCAGCAATGGGTTGTGGTAGGAACTGCTAATATATCTCCAATACCTATTTCCTATTCTTCCTTTAGTAACAGACCTGAGGTTAGTGGGGCACATGGTCACCCTACTGATGGCTGCATTTCCTGTAGCTCTAAGTGGCTATCTGACCAGCTGGAAGCAGTACTTGTGAGTATAAGTGATGTGTGCAACTGTTAGGCTGTGGACCCACTGGAATGGAAGTTACATGACTGCTGCTTCCCTTCCTACCTCTCCTGATAGCTGGGAAAGGGTAGGATGAGGGAAAACTGGGCCACCATTTTAC